GTCATGATGCAAGTGCATTTTGGTTAACATTGAAAGCAACGACACGGTGTCAGAACAAGATAAAAATTATGAAAATATAGTAAACTGAAAGCATACAAGGGAAAAGGTAGTGAATGTCAAACTCTTATTACATATTAGATCAAATAAAGGATATTTATAGACCTCCTCTCTGCATGTGGATAATTTAGGGCATTAGCCGCACATCTATTTTCATAACGGTACAACAAATAATATCCAGCTTAGGTTTCAAGCTGAAATATGTTCCTTGCATGTTAGTAAGCATATAAATATTGTTTTCCAAGCATATAAAATTAAATGCGCAAACATATAACGCAATGAACAAATTGTGAACTGGGAAGCAGTATTTTCTGTTGTTTGAAGTTATCGCCCTTATAATTTTAATTTACATTCATTTTTTTTGCAAAAATAAACAAATTTGCCAAATCTAATATAAAGTAAAAAGATCAAGAATAAACATTTTATAATTTCTTTTATAATAACGGTAAGAATTTGTCTTTATTCTGGAAGAAGTATTTTTTCCATTAATTTTATTGTAAATAACTTTGAAACATCTATGTATTTTTTCAAAAGGCCTAATAATAAATGAGTCAGACGGTCAAAAAAATATAGAGAGAGGGAGATAGTGGGGAGTGGGGAGAGACAGAGAGAGGGAGTAGGGAGAGAGTGTGAATGGGGAGAGAATGAGAGTGGTGAGAGAGGGGGAGAGAGAGTGGGTAGAGAGACACTGGGGAGCGAGTGAGTGTGGGGAGGGAGAGAGAGAGAGAGTGGGGGAGGGAGGGAGAATGAGTGTGGTGAAAGAGGAGAGAGAGATTGGGGAGAGAGAGGGAGAGAGTGAGTGTGGAGAGAGAGAGAGAGAGAGAGAGAGAGAGAGAGAGAGAGAGAGAGAGAGAGAGAGAGAGAGAGAGAGAGAGAGAGAGTGGGGAGAGGAAGTGGGGAGAGAGACAGGAAGGTGGGATGAGAGAAGGAAAGGGGGAGAGAGAGAAGGGGCAGAGTGGGGAAAGAGAGGGAGTTGGAAGAGACAGAGGGGAGAGAGAGGTGTGGGGAGAGGGTGGGAGATGGAAAGAAGATGATAATACCGTTTATAGACTTGTGTTAAGTACCTCTTTTTATGTAAAAAGTCTAAGTTAATCTTCCCTATATTTTTATGAGAAGTTTTGAGACTTCATTCATAGAAATTGAAAGATAATTATGGGATCAAATTTCCTTAACAATCGCCCTTTTTAAAGCAAATTTAATTGGAAAGAGTTTTAAAACGTTAATCTTTCTTATAACTTATGAAGAAGAAAGACTTTATTTTGATTTTTTGCACATTTAGATAATTAAAACTGTGGAAACTGAAAAGTTTTAAGGTATTATTATTAAGGTATTCTATTCCATCCCTAATAGCAAAAGATTCAATGTGAAGGTGTTAATACTCAGTATATTTAGACATAATTCCCATTTATTATTATAAGCATGGAAGGGTGGGATGATCTTGAATTTTGGTAAGAGTTATCGCCGTCTGTGTTAATTAATAAAAAAATTAATCTTAAAAACTTATCTTATAAAAATAACCGTTTTCAATTGTCATTCTATTTCTAATGTTTAATGCATCTTTCTACCACAATATTTATTGATATTATTATTTGAATTTTTAAAAAAAATTCTTGTCCACATCGACTTCAAAGCAATTTTTGTTAATCAATTACTGCTTAGAAAATTACATTTTTGAAACTTTCTCTTGTTAAATCCTTTTGTACTATTAAATGCTTTAAATTAATATCAAAGTATTATGTACATGATGAACATTTAAGGATAGAGAATTTGGTCCTATTAGGGATGGAAAACCTTAAATGTTAAACAGTTAATGTTAATGTTAAATGATAAACAAATAAAAAAAACGCGTATTCTTGTTTTAATAGTCAAAGAACATCATTATAGCCTTGTTATGTTTCCTTTAATTGGGATAAATCACCTTGTATAATTTATGTAAAAGTGTAGTAATACCTTTCAATTTTGTTAACTAAACTTCAAAGCTTTTAGAAATGATTTGATTTTAATGACCCCCATGTATTTGCCTAACAAAAAATTTCTTAACAAAACCATATTTTATCAAAAAATGACAGAGGGTCATTATTCTACGGTTTCATTTTTCTTCAATCCACACGGAGAAAAATGACCCAAAGGCCATAATTTCAACGAAAACGTGGGTCATTTTTCTACGTAGAATATTGACCAGGGTCTACGGAGGTCGCTTTTCGTCGTTACACCGGCATACGGTGACGTTTCCATATGAGTGAAAAATTCTCGAAATGGACGTTAAACAATATACAATCAATCAATCACTTAATTTGACCAATAGATTTGATATTTTTGTTTCTTTTCCAAGTTTAAGTTTACACTTATACGAAATAAGCGTTTATATTTCTATGGACATAAGATACTGACCGAGTTCACCATATCCATACAGTCAGGAATACATGTAGATTGTTTCAGGTTCAGAAGTAATTTGCAAATTTAAGATGCACTCTATCTACAATTGCATTGTTCGAAAAAAAACCCTACCTCACACACATACAGCAATACTGGCTGAACAATTTTATCAAACAAATCCGACACCATATGATAGGTTATGTAAACGACCTTTCTTAAGAAAAATATTGCTTTATTTGCTTTGTCAACTAGTTTTTCTTTTGCTTTTGGGGTACTTTAACTGATGATATAAAATTGTGTGAGCAATTACATGTAAGACTATCACCCCCTACTCTGGATTCTACCTTAATTTTTCAAATTTAAATAAATATCAGTGATTGCTTGTTTTTTTTTTTTTTGAATTTGCCGTACGACAATCATATGATGGTCTCTGTGCGTTCCCTTGCTACATAATTATATATGCATTTGCTTCCTCCCTAGTAACTTGCCTTACGACAACGACATTTATACTAAGCAGAACAATTCCTCTTAATTCCACTCCAAGTTTCCTGTTTAAGAGGAAGTAATTTTGCTTCACTCCCTCGTTTTAATTAGATCGGTTACATATCTCTCTCTATATATATATTAGGAACGGCAAATAACCGGTTAACCGATTACACGGTCGGAAGGATGGTAATCAGAACTGTAATCGGAAAGTCGAAAAAATGATATATACGTAAATTTGAACGCAAAAAGGAAAGAAATATCTGCATTGACACTAATAATTTAGCGTTTTCAAATATCTATTGAAGCTGATTTGGAGGTAATCATGGGTGTCCGGATTGAGATTGAATAATTAAGAATGAGTGAAAAATTAATGGTATCTTTTGAAAATCTTCTCAAGAACCACTGGACCACGTAAGATGAAACTTATATGGAAACATCCTCATGTAGTGTAGACTCAAGTTTGTTAAAATCATAACCCCCTGGGGTAGGGTGGGGCCACAACGAACGATCAAAGTTTTACATAGAAATACATAGAAAAAAATCTTTAAAAATCTTCTCCAGAACCACTGGGCCAAGAAAGATGAAACTTATGTGGAAACATCTTCAGGTAGTGTAGATTCAAGATTGTTCAAATGAATGACATGATCCCCAGGGTAGGGTGGGATCACAATGGACAATGAAAGTTTTACATTGGAATACGTAGGAAAAAATCTTGAAAAAATTCTTTTCTCAAGAACGCAAAGCCATGATTAATTATATTTACATGGAAACATCCCAAGGTAGTACAGATTCAAGTTTGTTCACATCATGACTCTGGGAATAGGGTGGGGCCACAATGGACGATCAAAGATTCACAAAAGCTTCTTCTATCAGTTTATTTTATACTCTATGGATCCTCTATGAATTGTTGTTTTATACTCAGGTGACCGTTAAAGCCCTTGGGCCTCTTGTTAATGTATTAATGTATAAATGACGAAGCAAATAATATGTTATCACATTATATAGTATACATGTAAACATAATAAGAAATAAATATCAACAGTACTAGCTGGCACTTCATATGAAAATTCTATGCACAACATCTTGAATATGATTTGAAGGTCTTGCTTATTTAAAGGTTTACCACATTACTTTTAAACAAATTTAATTCTAATTGATTGCCAAACAACTGTCATCTGAAGAGGCAATTTGGAATCAGTTTGCAGCTGTAACATATTTTACTTTTCAAGTGTGTGCCACCAGTATCAAGATACAGAATCAAAATGGTTACCATCTTGCAACTTTTTTTTTTAATTCGAGGGGCCTATTTCTAATAAAACCCTACAAGTTTATGGGCTGTTCAAGTTCAAGTTCATATTACATTAATTTGATCTTGGAAGGATTCAGAAAATTTGTTCACATGAATTCTTCTTATTATTATATATTTATTATTACTTATTATTTCATGTCAGAATCTGTCAATGAAGCACAGATACAGACAACTTAAATATGTACTGAAACATGTATAATATATGGAGAAAATCATTGTGAAATCAAACGCGTGGCCTGGGAAGCGGCACCTTTGGGTCACAATGCTCACCTGATAAACTACTGCCCTTAGATTTCATATATATATATATATATATATATATATATATATATATATATATATATATATATATATATATATATATATATATATATATCTATCGATTGATGTCCAGCAATATTTAGTATATATTTTGGTATCTATAAGTAAATGTAAGTACATGTAGAATACAACCCATGTATTTTTCATTCTTTAAAACAATGTTCTTAAGGTCAGACGAACATTCCTTAAAAATATATAATTTTTTCCACGAATTTTTGGTTGAAGTGTCGTTACTTTAACTAGTTTCTTTACAAAGAGAGATGAGGTATATTACAAGGTATTTGTAGAGTATAATGTGCATAGATCTCCTGCTTAATGTACAGTGATGTACATGCACTAATATTAAAATTACAAATTCTACATGTAACAACATACTTTCTCAATGACTTTTTTTAGTTTTCAAGTTATGAAAATTCAAAACCGAAATATTAACCAAAAAAAAATAAAAAAATTAAAAGACAAGTGGCTCTAGATCCATAGTAGGAACTACACGGAGATCATATGGATATTCTATATTGTAGTACACAACATAATAAGTGTCTGTTATCCCAACAAAATCAATTCCGTCGTTTTCTGCAGCCGTCAGAGCCACTGTGTTGCGAGGTAGTGATATCCATGGGTTGATAGGTTTTCCGTTTTGATTTGTGTGAGTTGTTTCAGATATATGGAACCGAATTTCGTGTGGTGATTGGTTGCTGTAGAAGCATAGGATATTTCCTGCATTTTCGAAAGCATAGAAGTCCTTGCTTCCGAGAGTTTCCCGTTGAACAGCCCAAGTTGGTGAAGTGGGTAGGACGAGAGGATTAGATCCTTTGATATCCTTTAGGTATTGATACCTGAATTTGGGAAATCCAATCATTGGGAACAAATTAGCGGATGATATTGACCATCGAAAAATTTTTGAACCTACAAAAATTAAGCAATCTTTTTAAAAGCTACATAATGAAATTGTGTCGGAACAATTATTTCGAAGATGAATTAATCTTCCTTTTGCGTGGAACGTGGTTGTCTTTTAGAGTTTCCCATATGGTAAAATCGATAAAGTTGGCCATCTTGATTTCGTAAAGTAATTTTTCCAGTGTCTTTTCATTATGAAGAATCAACCAAACCCCGCATTTGGACAGTTCGTACTCAGTACAAACTGTCCAATGGCAGGGTTTGGTTGAATGTGTAGGAGATACATTAACAAGGAAATGTTCAATGTAGAATTGTAAAAAAAAGAAACAAGAATACTCATTTTTCTATTTAAATATTTATTTTTGTTTAATAAACCCCTCCCCCATTTTTCAACCTTCCACGATCATTTCTTTTTAAGAAACTTGGACTGGGTGACATATTTTTACAACTATAATGATACAGAGGATTGTTTACATGATTAACATTCTTGTTAAATCATTGTTTTGATTTATTCCAATATGTTAATAAGTAAAAATTGGAATATTTTGAGTAAATCAACAGAGGATTATTCTTACATAATTTCAAGTCTATTCTAATCATTTAAAAGTTAATCTCATCAAGGTTTTTTCCTAACAAATTTTTCAATCATATACATGAGAAAAAGAAATCTTGCTGTGACCTTCAACTCGACATTTAGATATATCGACGACGTATTATCAATTAACAATAGTTATTTCCATTCATATGTCGACACGATATATCCCAGTGAGCTTGAAATAAAAGATACCACAGACTCTGACACATCTGTTTCATATTTGGATATTTTGCTAGAAAAGGACGTTAATGGTAATCTAACAACAAAGCTTTATGATAAACGTGATGACTTTAACTTTTCAATCTTCAACTTCCCTTACTTAATAAGCAGCAATATACCCTTATCACCTGCATATGGGGAGTATATCTCTCAGTTGATTCAATACGCAAGAGCATGCTCTACGTATGAACAATTTCTAAAATGAGGTAAGTTATTGACAAACAAGTTGATGAAACAGGAATATCAGCGGTTCATCATTTCCTAAGTTCTATGGTCGATACAATAACCCTGTAGGCAAATACAGTCTGTCACTGAGTCGTATGCTGACTTCCCGGTCGGCAGGGGATGCTCACTCCTCCGTGGCAGATCCCACCTCTGATGTTTTTGGAGGTGCGTGTTTGCTCTGTTCCCGATTTTATTTTAATGGACATTGAGCATGAATACTGTTCGTTATCTCCATATTTCATCAATATAATCAATGTATAACACTGACGTACCTATCCTAATGTTTTTTTTTTACCTGCAATTACGTCTATATAACTCTTCTGAACGGTAAGAACTGCATCCCATTGGGTAACATCTGGAAGGTCTGCAAATCCTTTAAACATCGATGTTATAGACACTGACTTACAAGCACCACTTTTCAGGGACTCCTTATTGTCGTAGATGTAGACAGCTTCTGTTGTGATCACAGCTAGATCGCGCTGGGATGACTGTGTGCACATATTTTGTACATTATCTACCATGTCAATAATTACCTGCAATGAATGAAATTTAAGAATAACAAACATTGTTAATACAGGTATACAAGAACAAAAGCTTTGTTTCTTAAATTCACTCTAACTACATTTGGTCCGCCATACTTTTATTTCCAGTTACACTTCTATTTATATATACATAACTAATATTTCATGGAGATTTTAAGAGAGTGATTCAAAATAAAATGGATTTGCGCATCATTTTTGAATGCCTGCTTTCAATGTTTGCAGTCAAAATGAAAGTTTGCATGTTGAAAATTTTGAATGATTCTACAAATACATGTAGTTCTGCAATACGTTCTTTAAAATGCATTTCGTTATAGCAACTTAATTAAATTTGTCACACGAAGCGTATGTTTTAGTGCAAATATATTCAACTTTAAAGTCTCTGTATTATATTGGAAGAAGGGGAAGAAAAAATGGAATTTGAAAGTTAAAATGTTGGACTGGAATGGTTAAATATTGGACTCTCGAAGCATTTATGAAAAAAAAATTTTTTTTGGCAAATATTGGACTACAAAAACAAAAGATGACGTTAAAAATATATGTTTTGAGGAGGCATGCCACACTAAAGGTTTATCAAGTAGATGTAGTATCTTTTTGACATGATTTCATCATCTGTATTTACGTGTATAATGATATCGTAAGCTTTAGACGTAGCTCTGGCCGTCTAAAATATGTGGCTGAATATTTTAAATGGTCGATAACCTTTGAAGCACCCTTAGGTATCATTACCTGTGTTTGAACAAGTGACCATTAATACAGACATGGATAAATTTTAAAATACGTCAATACATGAATAAAGGTCGACACAAAAAAGAGTTTGCACACTCTGTTATTCTAATGTTATTGAAGATGAATTTAAAAATGCCCATTTTATGAAAATCTGAGAATTGTGTATATTAAGAAATATTATTATGTTAAACCAAGTGTATTTAAACTTATAAATTTGTTGTGTTGTCAAAAGATGTATATCATGCAGTTGGAAAAATGCTTTATTTTGTATGCTTTATATTGTGTATAAAATCAAACAAAAATAAACAAACAATAAAAAACTCGAGCCAAATCTTTTCTCTTTACAAGCAATTAAGAGCTATGTGTTAATTTTTTGAGAGGATATTTTTTTTGCAAAAGAATTTATTTGCGCCAAAAGATCTGATTATTAAGTTAGCGCTAAAATACATGAGCTATAGCTAACTATTCCTTTCATATAACATGTATAATTTTATATACTTATATGTAGTTCAATACACCACAATCCAGCTTAAAAGTTTGAAATTACTATTACCCTTTATCGATACATGTAGTGGTTTTCTTCGAAATGATAAAAGCTGAACAATTTTGCTTTGATATTAGAGCTTTAACCCTAATACAAAAGCAAGACTCCGTCACTGTTTGCAATGAAATTACATCTTTACTTTTTTTAAGAGCCCTCCTTTAGGAATTATTGGTTCAAGTATTCGTCATTTAACAGACATGTACATCGCATGTACTAGAAATCTCAAAAACTTCAAACTAACCGGAAACATTGAAGTTGTTCCTTGTGGAACCGGTACAGAGGTCGGTATATTAGGGGTTGAAGTCAAAATGCCAGTGCTTGATTGTGGAATAATTGTAGTTCCCTGTGAAGCAATTACTGATGACGTCACTGCTTGGGTGGTTGTTGGCGTCAAATGGATAGGGTACCTGTCTGCAACCTTCATATAACACATTGTAGAATCACTAACCACCACATAAGGAACCGATCCTTCCTCGGATACCAGTTTACAAATTCCATGTCGTGTGGTCTCCATGTTTTTGCATTCGTAAGATATTGCATAGCAACCTCCAGTGTTCAAACAAATGCGCGCGCACCCAATCTATATTTAGAAATAAAAAATAGAATATATATTGCCAATGATATATAATTTCTTCAAATAAAATCCTGAATATATAAAATCCAGTATCACAACGGCGACTTTTAACTGAAAATAAATATATTGATTTGATTAATGAACAAATTTGATTCTGCACCTCATGAAAATATGATAAAATGATCAGGGTCTTGCTAAATTTGAGGAAAAAAAGGTTCCTACATGTATATATTTTCATAAAATTTTAATCACATATTGTTGACCTATCCTTTCCCTAACGCCATGACTTGAACTCTTAGAATACACACAAGGTTAAGAGGCGTTCAATTAAGTTTAATATTTTCTGGTCTGGTGATATTCTATCTAATATTTGGCTTGAACAAAGCTCAAATAATACAAAATGGTTAAAGGCGAAAGTTAAACTCACATTAATTGAACTATTCAAGCAAAGTTGGCAATCAACTCTTCAAACCTCACCTAAAGCATTAAATTATAGAATATACAAAGACGAATAAAAGTTTGAAAACTATTTTAATATTTTATCAAAAAAGGATTCAACTACATTCTGTAGATTCCGAACTTGTAACCATCATTTACCAATTGAAAGCGGACGCTGGCTTAATATACCAAGACAAGACAGAATTTGTTCCTATTGTAATCTAAAAGAAATCGGAGATGAATTTCATTATATACCACTATGTACTTCATTACAAAAAGAAAGAATGCTATGCTTAACAGAAAACGTTTACATAGAAAATAAATAAAATACGTTCCCCGGCCTAGAATTCCCATGCTTCAAATTTATAGCAACGTACTAATTTTTGTTCTTTATTATCCACGCATGCTATTGCTATGTATTAAATTATCCAAATGTTGTAATTAAGTCTCTATATATATACTATTGTAAAATGGTGAAGAGATTCAAATAAAATGATTGATGATTGATGAGAAGATTTTTTATATTACCTCATCATATTTTTCCCTTTTCAACATTATATCCCCTTAGGAGGGGATATTCAGATAGGCAGACACACAGCACACAGGTACATGACTTGTACAGACCCGTAGCAACGATTTCAAAAAGGGGGGCTCTCAAAAAAATCTGACAAGCCCCAAAAAATTGTCAAGGGAGGGGGGGGGGCTTCCCAAAATAATCTGAAAAAAACCTAATTCACTGTCCAAATCCTGCAATTTGCCAGTGCTCGACCTTACAGCAACAAAACGTTGGGGGGGGGGGTCATCTAAATGAAAATTTACTGGTGTAGATAGAAAGACGACGTCCAACAGGTGATCAGATAAGCTGTATAGTCCTGTAAATAATCATTATTAACAACGTTTCATTCAGATAATTTTCTTTTACAATTTATATTTGATGGATGCAAATGCGTTTCACTGACCTTAGAATAAGTGCTGAGACTTCCAATTTGATGACTTGTAATCGCTTCTCCTTCTATTCTTGAGTCTAGAAAAATGTACCGGAAACACTCGACGCATTCCAAATGAAAAAGAAAATAACTGCAAAATATTAACATTAGACGTCTTTTCACCATACTAATAGACTTTCTAAAAAGTAGATGCTAAAGGCACATACATGTGTTAAACATGGCATATTGAAAATGAAGTTTAGGATTGCCTCTGGTTATACAGTTTTGCCTTCGCAAAGTCATGATGGAAATCGATGATGGCTGGATTGAATCGGTGTAATGTCCAGTGTTAACCTTTTACGAGCAATTTCAATTTCAAAGCCATTAATTCAGAGATAACCGATAATTCAAACCATAGAAAAGCGTGTTTAGATTTAATTTCAATTAAATATGAAATTGACTGATACAAACTGTCTCCTATATTGTTTATGGAGACAAAAAGTTTTCGGATAACAGGTTTCCATTGACATATAAAAGTTATTGACAAAAGACAATCAGTCAAATCTACGATGGAAAACCACTTTCATGGCTTGAATAGAAAATCCATCCTCATTAATTTCTGCATGGTTGGCTTTTAGATCAAACAGCATGGTTTTGTTACCTCAAAATGTTTCCAATTTTTGTTCTTATTTGTTTCATAAATTCTACTTTATTTCTGATATCATCCAAGCATTTGTCAAAAAAGTGTCACCATATTAACTGCTTGGAAAAAAAAATATTTCAGTTAATATCTTACAATTGATCAGTCGTCGATTACATACATGTCCACTGAGTATTTTAGTGGTATATGTATATATATATATATATATATATATAAAACTTATCACAACTTTCCTGTCATTGAAAAGAAGAATTTTAAAGATTTTTCCTATGTATTCCTATGTAAAACTTTGATTGCCCATAGTGGTCCCAACCCCTGGGGGTAATGATTTGAACAAACTTGAATCTACACTAATTGAGGATACTTCCAACTGAATATGACTAATCATAACCTTGCTGTATTGAGAATAAGAATTTAAAAAATTTTACCCATGTATTCCTAAGTAAATCTTTGATCGCCCATAGTGACCCCACCCTATCCCAGTGGGTCATGATATGAACAAACTTTAATCTACACTACCTGAGGATGCTTCCATATAAATATGACCAATCATGACTTTGCATTTCTTGAGAAAAAGAATTTTAAAGATTGCTCCCATGTATTCCTATGTAAAGCTTTGATTGCTCATAGTGGCCTACTCTAGCCCCAGGCGTCATGTTTTGAACAAACTTGAATCTATACTATGTCAGGAAGCTTTCACATATTAAGTTTCATCTTTTCTGGCCCTGTTGTTCTTGAGTAGTAGATTTTTAAATATCCCCACCCAATTTTCTGTATTTCTTGATTATCTCCCCTTGGAAGAGTGTGTGGCCCTTCATTTGAACAAATTTGAATCCCCTTTACCCTGTTTACCCAAGGATACTCTGTGCAAAGTTTGGTTGAAATTGGCCCAGTGGTCCTGGAGATGAAAATGTGAAAAGTTTAGGACAATGACAACAATGACAGACAACTGACAAATTTTGATCAGAAAAGCTCACTTGAGCCTTTGGCTCAGCTGAGCTAAAAACTGACCTCAATATTGATGTGTTTATGTGTAATCTAAAAACTGCAAAATATATAAATAATTTATTCTAGCATACAGCACTTCATATAAACTTTTTGAAATTAGAATACTTACACATGTAAGAGAACATGCATTGATCAAAAGAATACACATTGCAATGCTTAGTACAGGCCAGTAATAGATATCAAATATTACTTTGGTATTGCTCAACAAAGCTTCAACCTTCTAAATAAATTTTAAGGTGTGTGTGAAAAATGACCAGTTCCAGAAACACATTTACTGAAGAACAAGCACAAATCATTTTGGACAAAAAATAAAAAGACAACAGATCTGCTCAGTAAACTTGTTCAACAGAGGTCAAGTCAATCAATATCTGAAATTTTAATTTCTGTCACATTGACCTCCTTCCTCTGATTCAAATACTTTAAGCCTTTTCTTTTCTCTGTGAATTATTCCAATCAGTTCATTTTCTGTTTCTTCTATAAATGAACTCCAATGTAAAGATCTCTTCTGAAAACTATGCACTGGGAGAGAAGAAATATTTCCAAGTTGTAATTTCTGTTCATAGATTTTCAACTTCTCTTGTGCCTCAGTGAAAAAGTGACTTTTGCATTTTTTCATTTCTTCGGTTAAACCAGAACTTAAAAACTTGTAATTTACTGCAAGCCAAGAAACCAAAATTGCACAATCATCAAATTCAAATCCATTTTCACCAGATGTCCGAAAAAGAGGTATGGAAGAACTTTCTAAGATAACATCATGCTCTGAATCATAGAACATAACGATCATTGAAGAATTTCCCACTGCAATGCATGGAGTCAAAAAATGTTCTCTCTCTGGATGCATTTGCTTTTGAAGGAATGAAAATACTATGGTCTGTGATATTATCTGTGCATTTCCTGAGAGGGCATATGACTTTACTTTCTCTTCAAATGGAGCTGTTCCTTCAGGACTACAAGGCAGATTTTCCAATGGTTGCACAATTAAATCACTTTTGATAATTACGTCTACATTTCCATGCCAAACTTCTCTGTTTCCTGTAGAATAAAAGAAATATCCAATATTACCATGCGACATATTGATTATATACATGTATATACAAATCCATTGAAAATGTAGTTTTATGAACCATTTGCACTAGTATAGATTATACAGGGACTATAAATAGACTATGTAATAAAAAGAAATAGCCAATACAGTCATGTGTCATATTATTATATCTTGGAGTACTTTTCGTACATTTTTCACTCTCTGAGAGGAAGTAAAAAGATAAATCTACAAAACCTAGCATCATGTTCATTGTAAAATCAAAATGAATACTACATGTACATTCTCTATTGTAGTATGGCTGACAAATTAGAAAAAAATGAAGGGACAAGGCATGCCCTTATGCATGTTATGAAAAAACTTCCTAGGGATAACTGATATATTTTAACATATGAATCAAAGCTAAAATTGTTTTATCAACATTGTCAAATAACTAAAAATATTGAAAAACAAGCCCATTGGATAAAATATTCCAAGACTTTGATTTTTGTATAGATAAAAATAGATTTTTGGTATGAAATAGTAGAGTGCTTTATCAAGTTTATCAAGATTTGAAAATAAACTTATCATGCTTAATATATATGGTATAACACTTACCTACACTAGTATCCCCATACTGACCAGTCATTTTGCATGAACTAGCATTACAAAAACACTGATCATCTTTTTTTCCAGGAATAGATTTATTAACAATGTAGCGGTTGGACATTGCAAGTCTTCCAAACAGATGATTTGCCAACAGCACCGCAAACTCTGATTCTTTTAATCTCTGAGGATCAGCATTTATACATTTTTCTGAAATAATTAAACAAAACATATTTGAATACAGAGTCCCATTGGTCCTGGTGCAAAAGTGGAAAATGTGATAATCCACTCCTAATGACATCATGAAACTGACATAAATTAGAAAAACACAAATCTGGTAAAACACAAGGTATTGTGATATAGCTGACAAAATTGTTCTGAAATCACATTCCTGATAACATGGATAAGAAGTAGATCACTGCCATTGTGTTTCCAAGACTGTCAAAACTTGAAACAGAAGGGAGGGAGTCCTTCTAATCTCTTTGGTTATTATTTAACACAAAATAATGAATCCACCAAAAACAAACTTTAGTAAGGGTATCTTTAAAAAAAATGTTTGGTTGCCCTCTCCCAACTGATTGGCTAAAAACAGCCAGACTCAAAACTTTTTTAACCTCCAGGAAGCTATTATTTTTTTTAACGCATTCCGGAAAATAGATTTTGAAAATTCACCATCGATGTTGAAATTTTTTGGGGGAAAAATCCCACCCACTTACTGGCTCAACTTTTTCATCCTGAGTCAGAAAAGGGCAAGCAAACCTTTTTAGTTCCCTGAGGGGACTATAGCTTTCCTCTGCATCTGTCTGTCTCTTTCGGCTTCCTGCAATTTTTCCCTAAACGCTCGCTGATATTGAGCTGATTTTTGGTATGTGCATGTATCTTGATGAGTTACAGATAAAGTTTGCATTTCACTCTGCTTCACTGATTTTTGACGGAATTACGACTTTTTAATTTTTAAGGTTTTCTGCAATTTTTTTTTCTAAACGCTTGCAGATATTATAGATTAAGTTTACATTTCGTCCAGCTTCAATGATTTTTGAAGGAATTATGGCATTTTCAATTTTTAATGGGAACCAGATTACATTTGCCAGTAGGGGACTATTGCTAATGCAATACTCTCAGAATGCTTGTTATTAAGTTGGCCTTACAGTGTTGAGATATTCATTTTATATTTTTCTGTTGTTGTTGAGGTTTGCAACTCCCAAATCAGTTTATTCAATTGCTGAAAGCTGTGTAGTGATACATGTTGAATTGCTGGACTGTTTGTTTGTTGTTTAACATCCCTCTTGAGAATTTTTCACTCATATGGAGACACCACCACTTGCTGGTGGAGGGCTGCAAATCTGGACCTATACTTGGCACTCAGGGCCAATGAGCAGTGAGGGATCTTTTTCCTTCTGCAACACGGGACCTCGGTTTATAAGGTCTCGCTGGACTGTATCATGACACATAATATGTTGTTAGGTAGCTTGCGATAATCAAACTAAATTATATGATAAAAGGGTCAATTTTGGCCCCCATAAATAAACATTTGGTACTAAATGTATGTCAGATTGTTTTGAACTTTTATATAGGCCGGAGTACATTGTATATATTAGAAACATCTTCCATTCATTTGTCTCATTGATATTCACTGTATATGATGTCAAAAATGCTATTTTTGCAATCCAATCAAAATGTGCAATTTTATAAATATACAAAAGTGTGGGAAAAGGTGAACTTTATTATCAAATTGAAAAAAAAACATGAAAAATAATGAATAAATTAAATGTTACCTGTATAACTCACAGGTGCTTGGGGACGGGACCCCCAACCCCTGTTCCGTACCCCAAGGGTTCTTTGACTTTTTTCAAATAAAATATTTTTCTATGACATATTCACAAAGTATTACTCTCTGATACTTAAAGTTCTTTTTTAGTATCAGAGAGTGTGAATTTTTATAAAAGGCTGGTTTTAGGTTATATTTTGGAATTTTCAGTTGTGAATATGTCATAGAAAAATATTTTATTTAAAAAAAGTCAAAGAACCCTTGGTGTACGGAACGGGGGTGGGGGGTGGGGGGTGGGGTGGTCCCGTTCCCAAGCACCTGGGATATAACTGTGTGAAATGAACCTATAACGTTACATAAAATAAAAAATTAAGATGTTCATTTAAGGGGGGTGGGGGGATTTGAGACCCATATCACAATTTAGTATATGCTTACCCTCTGCTTTAAAGGTAAACAGCTTTCCAAGCAGTAAACTTTCTGTCCTGTCAACTGGAAACGTCTCTTGGGCCAGATATTTTGTAACCAGAGAAATACCCTGTTGAAATATGTCCCCAAACAAAAACTCAACATCGCACATTTCTCTGTCACAATATGCTTTTGAAAATGGCGCACCTCCTCCTCCAACTGTTGCATTGTTTCGTTTAATTATAAAAGGCAAAAGTTTCACAGCATTCGGAAACCATTCATTTGTTAAACACAGAGAATGCGCAGCATTTGCAAATGCAAATTTTAAGTTTACCTCAGAAGCCATTATTTTTGGGTGCATATCAAATCGTCACTTAGTCAACTGGGCACCAATTGAAAAAGTCGCTTTTGATATAGAGAGAGCCAATATCATTGTTTATGGGTACTATTGCTATCTTTTATGTTAAAACTAGATGTCTCCACGAATGCCCCCGCAGGCAGTCAAAATTTCAAATGCCATATCAGGCGCGGATGCAGCATTTCCCCATAGGCACTCCCCAGCTTAATTGTTAAAAAATATATACCTACTATACTATAAACAGTATAGTAGGTATATATTTTTTAACAATTAAGCTGGGGAGTGCCTATGCATTCCCCCCCTCCCCCCCCCCCAAAAAAAATTTTCCTACCCAGAAATTTCTTGTCAAGCGAAAAAATAAATTAATTCCCTTTCCAAACGTATTAAACCCAGCAAATTTCTTGACTAGCTAAAAAAGGGGGGGGCTAAAAGGGGAAGAGCGTGAAAAAACCCTATTTCGTGGTATTTGATTGTGGGGTCCACGTTTTCTAGGGTGGGTGAGTGGGTGGTTGGGTCTAAAGTTATTTTTTATTTGCTTCAGTATATATACTTTTAATAACTCTGCAAATTCCGGACCCCCCCCCCCCCGACCCCCTCTAGATATTTTAATTAGTTTTAAATTTGTATTCGAACTTGACCTGTATATTTTCTGGTAAAATACCTGCATATGTGCAATTTCAACCAAAGGGTTCTGGCTCCGGGGTCATAAAACTTAGATTAGCTCACTTTTGTTATCAGTCTCACTTTTCACATGATTAACTCTATGTAAATGAGATTAAAATTTTCATTTTTCAGTCTTCGTATGTTTCAACACATTCTGGTCACCATTTTGAAGAAGGGACGCTTGTAACAAGTGTCCCTCTTTCTTCTCTCTGATAACCTAAGTACATGCAGCCATTATATTTTACGGGGGGGTTGGGGGGGGGGGTGGCTCTAGGGGAAATCGCACTTTAATATAACTACTACACAAAGTAGGATTTCCCCCGGAAAATTGGTGTGGAATTTCCGTGGGGGAAATTCAAATCCTACTCTTGAGTCAATTTTCCGTGGGGGAAATCCTACTCCTGAGTCATTTTTCCGTGGGGGAAATCCTACTCTAGAATCTATTTTCCGGGGGGGGGGGGGGAATTCAAGCTGCAGACAGCTCAGTATTACGTTACGCTACAACTCCATATATTCGTATAGGGAAAGAAGTCCCGGAGAATATTGATTCTGTGTGGAGTATGGGGGAAAATCCTACTCTAGACCCAGTTTTATGGGTAGAAAGATTGTAGAGGGGAAAGCCTACTCTACAAGACCGTTCTGTCCAATGTAGTTTTCTCCGCATGAAGTACAAGTCATGCAATATATCAAATTTCTAAATTTGCAAGACACATATAATTAGTTTGCAAGGAAAGGTACATGTACATAGATCTATTTTAATCATTAAAAAAAATAATTATTGAGATGTGTTCTTCTTCACATAAGAAACTGAAAAACCTATGGCAAAGACTTTTAAAAAATATATTTTAAAATTCAAATTCAGGGTTTAAGATTGACTCAGAATCCTTCGAAAAATATTGAGTGCATTAGCCTACCAGATATATTTAGACTTAACCTTTTATATTTACATTCCACATCTACTGATGTAGTGTGTGGAAAGCTAATGCCCATAACACTGACGGAGAGGTCAAAAGGTTAACGTATAATTTTTATTTTAACGTCACAAACGTCGAACGCTGTGCAAGTGCAACATCATAAGCGAAAATCAAAATTCACGCACACATTCCAAAATATATGTGGAATGTAAATGATATATAAATTTTCATAACGCGCAAAGTTTGCACACAACGTAGTAGTTATGAGAATACATCTTTCATAAAATAATAATTGAATGCTTAAATGGCAATTGCATGAAAAAAAAAAATATTCCGGAGTAAAACTGCTGACTATTTTTTCGTTAGTAAAATCAGTAAATGATGATACATGTGTTTGGAAAAGTATTTTTTTTTTTAAAATTTCTGTCCTTTCCTTGTGACCTTGAACTTGGAGTTTGACTTGCATTTGAGAAATTTGAACCTTCGCCATGATCTGCATCAGTGTTGCACATCTTGTTATTTTAGCGAATTGAATCTTCGATTGCATCAATGAAATGGTCTGATAAAAAGCTGATTTTAGTTCCAGATGACCCAGTCGCTAAATATCACAAATTTTAAAAAAGAGGAAAGAGAAAGAAAAATGCAGGCTAATTGAGATATATTCGTAAAAAAAAAAAGCATAATACCAATATATACAGGTGACTCTCGATGGCTCGAACTCCGATCTCTCGAAGTTCTCGATCTCTCGAAGTGAACCTCCGGTCCCGTTTTTTTCCTCTATATAGCTAAGCAAATTTACTCCCGATCTCTCGAACTCCCCATCTCTCGAAGTTCTCTATCTCTCGAACCAAGATCTGGGTCCCGTTATACACATTTCATTGTTTTTTACGCTCTATCTCTCGAAGTTTTGATTGCGCATGTATACATGTCAATCAAGCGTAAAATTAATGCACCTTGGACTTACCTGGATAACAGTGTACGCCTGGGGCTGGGATGGACGTGTTAATTGGGTGTTTACATACATGTAGATGAAACTACACCTGTGAATCGTCCGAGTGTTGATATAATTAATTGGTTAACTGTTAAATTATAAACAAACTGCTTCACATCTTATTTTGACTGGACGGGACGATAATTTTGAGGAAATAATTTAGGGACATGTCAGTAATTTTTCCATAGATTATGACCTTTAATATTATAAGAGTCAACACAATCCCAGTTTGGCAAACATTGCACAAGAAATCCTATCTCAAGAACTGAATACCGATTACGAACAATCTTGTGAAGGACCAATCAAGCCCGGGGGAGAGCCAATTAGACAATTGCTATTCAGGTTTCATGTAATCATGAAATGAAAACTAATAAATATTGAAACTTAAAATAATTATTTTATTTATTCAAAATACAATCATTGTTTTTGAAATCAAGTGAATTACCTCTAAAATATGAAGAAAACGTGTAATGACATTTATCAACATATACTTCCGGTATGTATAATAGTAGAGCAATGATGACCGGAACTGAAAATTCCGGATTTTATTCACTTTCTATCTCTCGAACCCCCCGATCTCTCGAACTTTTCTTACGGTCCCTTGAACTTCGAGAGATCGAGAGTCACCTGTATTTGTTCATTGATGAGATCCTAGGAGAGGTTAGAAAAAAATTAACGATTTTGACGTTTGACATTTCGTTTTTTAAACAAAAGGAAAGTGTCGACAAAGGCTTTGTAAACGAATATTATGGAACGCCATAGCTGCCTGAAGGTCATTTTCATTTTATATGAGGTGGTATAACCTTTATGTGAAGTGGTTAAGTCATTATATATAGTGGTAAAATCATTATATTCAATGAAAACTTTATTATATGCAGTGGTTTTATCTTTATATACAGTGATAAAATCATTATATACAGTGATAAAATCATTATATTCATTGATGACTTTATTATATGCAGTGGTTTTATCATTATATTCAGTGGCAATGTCATTATATGTAGTGGTTAAATAATGTAATGAAGTGATAGTACCGTTACATTATGCTGTAAAATCATTATATGCAGTGGTTTTTCCATTATATACATTACTGATATCTTTCTGTGATGTGATAAATTCAATATATACAGTACAAACATAATTTGTGTGATAAAGCAATCATTACATTTTATGAAACCCGCTGCATGTGGAGTGCCAAGTTAATTTCATTCAGTGCGACACCTTTACATGAAGTGAAAAATCTATTATGTGCAGTACTAAGATCATTATATTATATAGTAAAATTATTATATATATTCCTAAAATCCTACTTTGCAGTGGTAACATCTTTATATGAGGTGGTTAATTAATTATATGATGTTGTTAATTTGTTATATGATGTGCTCAAATCTTTATATGCATTAGACGTTTCATGTTATGCAGTGGTAACTTCTTTATCATCATCTAAACTGGTCCTTTTATTTAAAAAAATGCGCGGAGTTCCAGTTTAAAGAGTGTTTGAAAATAGGAAACCCGGGCCGTGGCAAATTAAAAGCCGGGACTATTCGAGATTTTTCAAATTTCTGATTTAAAATTTTCAGACTCTTTTTTTAGGCTAATGTGTTTTCGCTGTAAAAATTGTATTTAAATACTTGGTATTTTAGATTCTCTTTACGATTTTTGGTTTCAAGTAAAATTGGTAGGCAGTTTCAATTTTCTGATTTAATATTTTATCCATTGTGCTATAAATACTTAGTATTTTAGATTTTTTTTTTGACGATTGTTGATTTCCATGTTGGTAAAATGGGTAGACTGGGTTGGCGATATTTTATGTGTGTGTGTGTGCGTGTGTGTGTGTTTTTTTTTTTTTTTTTTTTTTTTTTTTTTTGACATATTTGATAAAAATCTAATAAACTTAAAAATTATTCCGATGTTAAACACTGTATTTTAACTTAAAAAACTTTTTCTTTTTGATAGTTATTTCTTTATTTGAAAATGCTATTTTTATGCAAAATACACATTTTCATTAAAAAAAGGATTATTAAACCAGATCCGATCATCCGGGAAGAACCTGGTGCAAAACACCATAAATCATTTCTAATTTCATAATATGCAAATGTGCACTGGTACATGTATCTATTTGTTAGTAGATGGAAAGAAACTGGATTACGTTAAATACGTAATTTGTTTAATACTTTTTTCGGGGGGGTGGGGGGTGGGGTGGGGGTGGGGGGGGGGTGGAGGGTGTTAAATTACTAATATCAACTATTTATAAGACTGTTTCTAAGACTTCAGAAAACCTTAAATGAGTTAAATCACATTGAAATGCTTAAAATAAAAATTGCTGCATGAAAACATTTCATTTTCAAGTTTCATCTTTGCCGTCGCCAACGTGGCACGGTGATTAGAGTGTCTGCTCTAAGAGACGCGGAATAAGGAGT